TATTGTGTTAAACCTATGAAGCGAATTTCGGAAGGGCAAAGTATAGCTGTAGGTAGTGACGAAGCACAAGCCAATTAAGGAAAGCACAAGTGCTGTACTATTGGAAAGTACTGCAGTCAGTTATTAGGTTGAGAAAATATCAAAGGGCGCCGATCAGTGGCAAACAGCCACTGACCATGATGGTCGTGCTTATTCTTTGTGTGATGATAACGTATACTGATTAGTGATGCATGCTAAACTAAAGCTAAGGTATACGACTAGCATGCTTGCACATCAGGCAACAGGTGCACCAACCATAAGGTGAGAAAATTGAACGATTCAGTAATTAACAAGACTCAAATGTACGCCCCGGGTTCAAAAGGCGATTTGTTCTCATTACTCATGAAAAGACTGAAAACAACATAAAAGTGAAGAAATAAAGCACTAAAAACCCACCCAATACCCACAGTAAGAAACTCATGCTGGACCGCGCTTCTACATGCACAAGGAGAAGAATGGGCGTGGTCGGACGCGTCTCATCTGTTGGTGCTCCTTATCACCTCACTCTCATTATTCGAGATGGAGGGAGTTAGCAAGCGCACGATCAGATAACACTCAAAATGTAAATCGGGCAAAGCCGTGGCCATTGGGCGGGGTCGCAATTCCGTCGCGAGCGAGTTACGCTTCCTCCTGTGTTTTTGAGCAGCGAAAGATAGTACATTCTCTATGCTCGTAGACAGGACTACAGTGTCTGAAGAAGGCCCCAAACAGCAACTAAACGCGTGGCGTGCCTTCAAAGGTTGAAGAGCGCCAATATTTCATGCAAAGAAACACAAAACTTCTGGATTCTGTTAAGAAGTGGATCAAAAAAGCATAACGTAGTTAATGGGAAGTACCGGTCTGTATGTGTTATCAAGGGAGGGACCTGTGATCAGTTGTCTATCTATCACAGGCAAGCTGAGTGACAGGGGTGACAGGGAGTGAGGGTCGCGCAAAGATGACTCCTTACCTGTCATCCTCGTCCAGTTCCTCATCGTCGGACGGTGGTCCCTCATCTGCAAAAACGAACATTCCAGCGCCGAAGTCAAAATCACGATCGGTATCACCGTGACCTGCTCCATTTCCTCGTTCTCCATCTTGTAGTTGAACAGTTACTATATCGCGCATCACGACGTCGCGACCCCTAAAGATATTGAAGTAATAGTAAGATATATATAACGCTACTGTCCTTTTCACGGAGAACTGCGTTCAAGTCAACATCTGATTAACGGGGCTCATAACAAATCCTCTTCTCAGTTAATACGCATTTTGCACCAGAGTGGCTAGAGGGTGTTCCACATAGTGTCCCATGCAGAGCATATAAGCCGAGCTCTGTGCGCAACGCCCGGAAATAACGCTACTACTTCACGAGGTCACTGTGCAGTCCTTCTCGCTGTGGACGCTGGGGCGTGTCACGGTGCCTTCGATTTGGTGCGGCACCAGCCCGTTCTCTTACTTTGGAACTGGCAGACGACCGCGACTGGTGGCAAACTGGCTGGCGCGCCTGGGTAGACGGTAAAGAGATCGTAATTTGGCCGTAGGGCCACGCGCGATGGACGCGTTTTCCATAACTCGTTTTTAATATCGAATGGAGCACCGGCTCAAATGTAGACCTCATCCGAGCAACAGCCATTACTAGTTTTCGATACGTAACTGCATGTTGTCGCTCATTCTTACTACCTGGAACCATGCCGTCTTGTACAGCGAGCACATTTGCAACACGAGCCGAGCAGCGCGGCGAACTACAATCCTCTTGTCTCATACCCGGCGCGCCTCAGACACCCCAACCCCTCTCCTAATAAGCTACAACGTCTAACTCATAAACCCCACCCCGTTCCAGGTGTAGAAAGCTACAGAGCAGTACGAGTTGACTTGGGTGATAGCGTCGACAAGCGGCGGCGCTGCATGCCGGGGGAGCTGTATGTTGAGGAAGCGGCGGCACCACGTGCCAACTGTATTCCACAAGTCAACTCGTACTGTGATGCAGCAACTGGGAAGTAAGGCAACCTTTCAGACCTCGCAATGACGCGCGCATGCGCTCTAACGCGTAACGACGCTAAAGCGCAACTTCGAAAAATGCTATGGAAAAGATTCTTATAAAAATGCTATGGAAAAGATTCTTATGAGTCCTTTCAGCTTCGTAAGGCTCACCTCTGCTCACGTCTTGTTCGATCATGCGCTTCGAGACGGATCCGAGCAGCTCCGAGGTTTCGGAACAGTTCTACACGTATTGGATGACGAATAATGTTCACTTCTTCCTGATTTTGTCCATCGGGAAGCCTCAGCGTCTGTATCGACTTGAGGCGAAGAACCATCAGGCCTTAATCAAAAAATATAGGCCAAGTATTATCAATATCTTCTAAAAAACAAATACATATATAATCCTAGGAATTTTTCCTAAAAATCAACGATATGGAAAAACCAGCACACGAACAAAAAAAATTCGTAGAATTAAAATTAAGAATGAAGGAAAGTATCAGCTGACCCAAGTGGATTTGAATCGTCGACAATACTCCGCATGAAAACTGGATGCTCTTTCAGAACATTTTTTCGTAGAGTTGCTCGTATCACATCCCTGCACAAGTCGGCCAGTGAGGGCGGCCTACAACAAATAGCGAATGATATGAGCGGAAACAAAGGTTCCAATCCGCAGCCAAAAACATGCAGTAATCTCACCGCACAAAAAGCGGCAGACAATCACGGCGGTCTTCTTCCTTGGGCGGCAATAAGTCGGCGAATTGACAAGCCATAAGAACTTGAGAACTATACGAGCTTTCACCTGTACGCGTGTAAGCCATCAGCTGAAAAATTTCAAAATAAATCCATCTTTCAATGCCAGAATTGTACAAAAAAACTGCAAACAAACGCACGCTATTCCTAATTGGAACGATCAGCTTGCCACCGATTTCTAATAATTTAATGAGACGATCAACAGTATCTTCATCTGAAACCGCAGCACCGCAGTAAACACGATCGTACAAATGCGTCGCTTGTGCTAGTTCTTGAGCTAGACCATTGCCGTGGAAAAACCTGAATTATGAGAATCTATTAGTTGTAAGTAACACTAATAGGCTAACAAAAGCCTTATGTTCTCAGTATGTTTTGAAACATAACCGAGCGTGAAGCAGATTCGAAATAACGAACATTTATGGTGTGCCTTTATAATACGCAATGTAATACGCAACAATCATCACGAAGGAGCGGTCAATTTCAGACTTTTGAAAAAGAATAGTACGTGAATTTTGCAGCTGCTTTGCGAGCAAGACGTACCCCTATGTTTATTTCACAATGAACAACAGGTACTATTAACGGAGGTATCACTCATCTTATCAAGGTAGTCTATACTCACACCCACCTGCTTACCCCCTGCTGTAAAAGAAGTTATCAAAATTTCCCAAAAATCGGTCGTTCCTACGCATTGGTGGAAATGTTATTACAGTTCCGCATCGACAGGTTGCGAAACACTGAATTTCGGATGATGCATCGAACTGAAAAGAAAAACGCAGGCCTTGCACCGCATACATCCAAACGGTTTTTCATCCACGACTAAAATTTCCCCAAGTTCCACGAACTAAAGGCAGTATGCCAAAACATTCCCACCATTGCCACAGATTTCGAAAGCAAGCGGTTCAATTCATATATCTAAGGAATGAAGAAGGGACGATAAAGACTGGCAAATGCTGCCGATCGATATTATGTTTTCATCATCAAAAACATTAATATGGGAGAAACAATTTTTAGAGGCTCACGTTGGAATGTTCCACGAAAGCACCAAGAACATCTCTGGCAAACCATTTTTTTTCACGGCATACTTCGAAAATGGAAAACTGAAACTTACGCAGGTTTTGCCCAAGGGAACGCGCACACTTCAGGACGAGCAATGGTTTCCGCGAGTTTCTCTTCAGCAAACTTGATGAGATTTTCGTGTATTTCAACTCCATGATTGACTCCAGAGCCACCTGAAAAAAGTTCAACATTCAAAAACCATTAACCTAACATGGAGAAATTAGAAAACAAGAGATGAGCGCAGTGTGATGCAGAATGTAATGGGATGAACGGGGCAAGTCGACCGGGGGAGGGACCACATAAAAAGCTCTCTGAGAAGAGTTGGGACTACTGCAACGGGGACCCTTTTTGCACAAATAAAGGTCTATCTACCTACAGGTTCTACTTGGTTTAGGCAAAAAAATTCAGCTAAATTGCGGCAATTCAATTTTGCATAAGGAGTCCTTTGGATGCCACCCATTCTCCTCTTATTCATTTCTGCCCAAAGACTCGTCACTTTCTTGCAGAAAAACAAGACGCTGCGATGTCATCATCAGACAAGTTCCTCAAGGGAACATCGTTGCGCTCAACTAATTGATTACGAAACATGTAACCCAGAATGACTATATACAGGGCAAATCCTACGCTGGAGAATCCCCAGCGGAGGGGGGGGGGGTAGTCGGTCGCTAGCGGGCGGGGAGCGTACATAACCTTAAGGAGGTCAGGCTGTTGATTTTCCTGATTTTGCTATTTCACTAGGCAACATACCTACCTTCCCCACCTCGATCGACCTTGACGTGCAATTTTTTGAAAATATCTGAAAAATGAAGGAAGGTGGATGGTAAAAGCATTCCCCCACCCTATCCAAAATGATAAGTCGTAGGGAGGGGGTCGCAAAAGTTTCTCTCAGCAACAGGACGTGCCCTGTGTGGAAGACAAATACATAAATAATCGATATAAAGCACGTGAGTGGCAGTGAGCACCACATGGTAGGACTGCAATCTGTTACAGCGGCAGCACGTACCAAGCGAAAGGTTTTATTAAGGGATTAGGAATCATTCGAAATTTGGAAATTGACCCTAGACGGAAATAACTGACCAATTAAAAATCCAGCAGCCGTACTCAGCCATCCAGTGCCAGATCCGACGTTAAGAAAGGCATGTCCTGGTTTTAAGTCAAGTTTTTCCAGAACTGTAGCATACATACTTGGAGCAGATATGTGCAGTTTTCCAGGAGTCCATTCTGCAGTAGCTTCGGCAGGAACCTCAAAATGAACCAATAATCATGCGAAAGGTTGGAAACTTCTACAATTCACGTGAATTAATAAAAAACATGAGAATCAAAAATAAATATTGTAATAAAATATAATGTAGAACAAAGTTGGGCTTCTACACAAGGTTAATTATGTTGGGTGGTGATTGTTCCTCTCGATCAGAAAATATAATTCAAGACAAAAAACTGGCGTTTTGCAATACATGACGTTTCAACTTCAAAATAAAATAGTAAGGCCGCGTTCATACCGTGCGACGTCGACGTCAACGTCGACGAAAGCTGCGTAAGTTGCGTAAGCTGCGACTGGTTCGTGAATAATACATACGTATCGATCCAACGAAAGCTGCGTAAGTTGCGTAAGCTGCGTAACCGACGACAGCTTCACGATCGATACGTATCTATTCTTCTCGAAGTTGTCGTCGTACGCAACTTACGCAGCTTACGCAAATTACGCAGCTTACGCAACTTACGCAGCTTACGAACTTACGCAACTTACGCAGCTTTCTTTGGATCGATACGTATGTGTTCTTCAGTCGCAACTTACGCAGCTTACGCAACTTACGCAACTTACGCAAAAGACGTCGCACGGTATGAACGCGGCCTAAAAGAACAGAAGTTACAAAATGCTTTCCCCAGCGATATTTCGTGTGCTCGGCACCTTTATAAGGTGTCGAGCACACGAAATATCGCTGGGGAAAGTCATTATTCAATATATTAAGTCATTATTCAATCTTTACAAACACAGTTTGAAAAAGAAATTGCTGAAACTTCAGGGGTTGAGGTTAGTGATCACATCTACAACATTCTCCTTGGGCGCCAGCGTAAAACCACCACCTACCCCTTTCCCACGAAAATCGGCATATACATACACAGTAGAGTTTTTTGACTTCTGATTGAGAATATAACCTATCTGGAAATGAACTCATCATCTCTGAGATCAGGATGCCAGATAACCCACCATGAAACTTGATCAAGTTTCATAAAATAAGTGGCACCAAGTCAGCACCTGCTCGCGCGGCTTCAACGTAAAAGAAAATGAATATCAGATTCCGTGAAATCAGGTAACTCTTTGTGCAAGAGTATGAGTTTTGATGAAAAAGGTGGACGTCACAAGCTGGAGCTAGCACTGCTCTGGCGCAAACATGGACGTAATATTCGTAATGTGGACATCACTAACCCTTGTATGCATTAGATCTATTTTTGTGAAAAAGATGGTGTTGCCAAATTGGCGCTGGCATCCAAAGCGAAGGTCATTAGGGATTAGCGACTGAATAGCTCCTACAGGGGAAGTTTCAGCATTTTCTCCAAGTATTTGGGGAGCTTATACTAGTGGTACCTTTACCTCCTTATCAACGCATTAAGGTAATACACGGCGCCGTGCAGCTCAGGAAAGGCTGAAAAACTGGAACGTCCTAAGAATTAAGAGCCCCCTAACACATTAAGCTAAAATCAGACCCACTCAAAGGGGTAACTTGTTGTGGTGAACTCGCGTGAATCACTTTCGTCTTAGTACATAATTCAAGTTCCATGATGAAAGGCAACCTTCGGCCCGATGTTTTAGACCTAACTTTATTAAATAAAATGAAAAACCGTTAGGAAGAGTACCTTGAATGGATTATCGCGATAAGCCTCTTCTACATATTCTGTAGGAAAAAATCGTCCTCTGTCAACAAGTCTGGAAAGGATAGTGATTATCACCTATATGATGTATAGACTGCCTACAAAAACTCACCTGAAAACCAGTTCCACTTCTTTTGAAACAATTTGTCCATGTTTCACCAAGTTGTCCGTTAGATCGTCATTATCTTTGCTAGCCGCTACCCCCATAACCTTAAAGTACCTCGAGATCATGAAGAAATGACCAGTTCGTAGAGAGGACAGTTAATCAAAAAGAAAGCATTCGATGCGAACGGATCTCATGGCTATGGCACTTCATTGCTCATTCAGTACAGCGGATAGACGTCAGCAAAATGTGTTTAGTACGTAATTACACCGTTTACCAAGGAAGCTCAATTGACGGCGCACGTGATTTTGTGGTTTGTTGGAAAGTTTCGATTGGTGTCTGGCAGGTGGATGCACATTGCCTGGTTGTTAGAGCTAATCGTTAAGTTGAATGTTCGCGATGGGAGGGGGGATTACAAAACGAACAATTCGTCTGACAGCCTGGTATCGATAGAGGCGGACGTTATGGGCATTCAATCAATATTTGGGACGAAAACAATCAGGTCCTTGAAGCACGAGTCAATACGACCATAAGAAACATTTTAGCTTTATAACACAATCTGATACTTTCTCAGAAGTAAGAACGCGGAGCCAGCTCTCGTCTCATAACCCTGGAAATAGCGCGAGTTCGTGCAACAGTTTGCATCCCTGAGTACATGTCGATAGCGCTTGACACGTGCTTATCAGTGGTTCTGCTGAGGACATCACCCATCATCTATGTAGGAACAGCTGATGTGTACTTTGAGATCAGATTTCACGACCATCAATCAGTGTGGAGTGGAACCAAGATGTAGAAATTCGCTGGGATTTGGGATAAGGAATCTGAGCGGCAACAGGTCTTCAAAGAATCGCTTATTGAAAGTACAAAGGGGCATGAGGCTATTGGCGACGTTCACTTCGCTCCAACGGTAATTGTTGGACCACTGCAATTCTACTTCACGCTTGCCCCAACCCTTCTGCGTTGCATTCCAGCTCCTCAGCTGGGCTTTACATCTGAATTGTTGGCCTAAACCCTGACCAGATAAATGGTCGGAAGATGTTAAATTCTGAAAATGATTGGGTAACCATCTTCTTCATCACGGAGGATTGGGCGTGTCAGTGAGGCTAGGTTTGGCGACCCGCCGACCCGTCCTCCAGCGGTCTGCCTATGGAATAAAGAAGTGAGTCTTGCGGCCGGCCGCATCTTCTCGACCGCATTAGTGAAGTTAAGGTTTCGGGCATAGTGCGCATATATGCGTAAAAATCTGCAATCGATGAAAGGAACCTATTCCAGGTTACCTCCGGGTTGCGGGATCCTCATTGTATTATCAGTGCCTTATCATAAAGTATAGACACTCTTTAAAGTTCGACCATTACGAGCTAACTCCCAGGAGCTTATAGAATCAAGTCTAGTTGATCATGGGATTCAGCATACCTCGATTTTACGCCACTAGAAGAAATCGGAGAGATTTTTTTATCATAAGCTTCCACACGAGCTGTATCCATAAGTACAGACACACTTTGATAAATCTTTGCCAACAAAACAAAGTTTTTTTTTGATTTCGTATTAAGGCATAACTACATATGAATTTTTCATATCACACAACAAGCCGCGGAGGATCTTCATCTATCCGACCGACAGAGCAGGCTCAGATCAGACGCCCTGCACACGGAGCAGTTCGTTGAGTATCGATTCGCCAGCTTGATCCGTTCGGTTCAGTCCGGTATCTGCGTTCGCCGGTAGTCCTACTGTCTAAATGGAAGATCTGGATTTCTCGCTGCACAGGTGCTGACGCCAGATGGACGAGCTTGTATCCAGAATCTCGCGATCAGCTTCAACGACGTTCGGCGGCCAGCTCTTACCGATGTGATCTTTCCAATAAATGACGGTGGAGAGCGATCAGACGGCGATACAACAACATCGTGCGATGCTCGTCTTCGTTCCAGGCTCCCCGACTTACCGAGTCTCACAAAGAGGCTCGGCTGCGATTTGCTAGAAGGAACATGGACAACAAATTGGTCGAAGGTGGGGGTACTTTCTAAAACTATTCCAACGACGAAATTTTCTGTTTAGGTGGTGTTCTCCGATGAGAAGAAATTTAACCTGGATGGTCCAGATGGGTACGCCTATTACTGGAGGGATCTTCGCAAGGAGCAGAAGTACTTCAGCAAGCGTAACTTTGGCGGAGGCAGTGTTATGGTTTGGGAGCATTCCACCGAGGCGGCAAGCTTGAACTGGCCTTCGTTTCCACGAAAATGAACTCAGTAGACTACCAGGACATGCTTGGGCGACACCTGCTGCCATTTCTCGCCAGTCACGGTAGACGAGAGTTTGTCTTCCAACAGGACAATGCGGCCATCCATGTGAGCAGGTCTACTATGGCATGGTTGGAGGAGAGAAATTTAGTCACTATGGATTGGCCTGCTTGCTCTCCGGATGTAAACCCCATAGAAAATATCTGGGGTATACTTGTCAGGGATATTTACAATCGAGGACGGACTTTCTCAAATGTCGCAGACCTTCGGACGGCAATCAGCCAGGCATGGGATCGTTTGGATCCACAGCTGCTGAACAAACTGGTCGAGTCAATGCCAGAGTATGACTTGCTGCAGAGGCCGTATAGGTAAGTAGGTTGAAAGTGAACAAAAAGGTGAAAAAGGGTTTCTAAAATGCCATGAAATACAGGTAGGGTATTCTACGCTATCTCTTGGCATTTCGGAACGCTTCCGATCCGAGGTTGTAGGAAGAAGTGAGGACAAGGTCTCACTTGTTGGTATCAGCTCTCTTCCCTTGACTCCTCCCTCTAATGATTCGAAATATAAAGTACTAGAAAGGAAACAACCACCACGGGAGTAGGGCAGTGGGCGGGATATCGCCCTCATTATGAGCAGTTGGTGCCCTTATCGCGTATCTTTGGACTACGAGGCGGTATATCCTCTACTTCTGCGGAAGGGATTACCTTGCCCAAAGGAGATGTGCCGTAAGTACAACATGTTCTTCCGGTTTTCTAAGGTCTGTTTTCTCCCACCCCTCCCTCCCTTCCACGCTTCCACCCCGCCCCCGCTTCCGCAGAAAGGGACATATTGGGTGGAAGGCAGAGCAGCACACTGAAAGAGAAACCAATCGAGGCTCTGTGGTTCACATAGTACAAAGTTCTCACTAGCATGCCGTTCTGCACCCTCCTTATCGCTTTCCTTGATCGGCTACAAGCCTCGCGGTTAGAGATAAAGAACACTCTGTAAGCACAACCATTTGGTGTGCTCTGGTGTTTGGTCATTCACTAGTGGGGAGTGGTTGAATGATTACAACCTTAGCTTATCCTGCACCAGCGAACCGCGAAGGGACTCGCAGGCTTTCTAATGCTCTGAAGATGCTACAACACCACGACTACTTGGGAGGGTACGTTGATGAATGGTCATGATACAAAGTGTACCACTCCCTAGAGAGGGTCTTTAGGTAGTTCTGCAGGTGATGGAAGCCAAACAGAATATCTTGTTCGGCGTATTCACCACGGATTTTGGGCGATCAACGGGACCATCTAGCGATACCAAGCCTCCTTACCATGGCGGCACATGAGTAGCGAGGGCTGGCATGAGCCTGACAGACCTGGACACCCATTCGTGCCACTTATGGAGGGATAGGAGTTCTGCTCTAAGGCTCCGTTCCAGTATTGCGACCCTAGGGCGAGGGAGGTTCGGCGTCTCCGGAAAGTTGGAGATTCGAAAACGTTGTAAAGAGAACGGCGACCCCAGCCAGCCAGAGACGCGCCAAAAATTAGATGACATAGATATAGATATTATTTTTTATCGAAGAATTGTAGAATAGGAGATTGCGGATTCGGAGAATCGCTGATTCGAGATTTCCTCAAATACGCTGCAAGGATATCTACTTGCCAATAAAGAACTGGGCCCAACGAGAGAATCAGTGACACCACAACCCGCTTGGGACAAGTTATAGGTTGGAAAGAAAGTCCTGTCACTGTTGTGATTTTTTTCTTTTTTATTTTCTAACTCAACATGAAATAAAAACTAATCAATAATATAATCGCCATTGTTAGCCACTACAGTGCTCCACCTAATGGGCAACTCAGCTATCCCCTTCTCCCAGAACTGAGGAGGCTGTGGCGAGTCGAAGAGTAGGGACAGACTTCTCGCCTTGATTGATGCATCAAATTCGCTGGAGGTTTTCTTACCTAGGAAAGCCTTGAGGGAGCGGAACAAGTAGTAGTCGGAGGGGGCTAGGTCTGGAGAATATGGTGGATGGGGAACGGTCTCCCAGCCTAGCTCCTCAATTTGGCGGTGGGTCTCTTTAGCCACATGTGGTCTGGCGTTATCATGGAGGAGGTGCACCGAAGCTCGTCTCGGCCGCTTTTCTCGAAGAGCTTGCGCGAGTTTCTGGAGTTGGGCGGCGTAAACGGTAGCGGTAACCGTATGCCCTTCGGGGGGGGCGGAAGCAGCTCGTGGTGCAGCATGCCCTTCGAATCCCAGAAGCAGCAGAGGAGGACCTTCTTGGAGTGCAGGTTCGATCTGGGTTGCGTAGGCGGGTCTTCTCCTCGAAGGGAGCCCCATGGCTACCGCACGTAGGTTGGAATCATAGAGGACCCAGCTTTCATCTCCAGTCACAATATCTTCCAGAAACTCCTTCCGGTTACGGTGTGTAGAAGGGATCGACAGATGCTCACCCTGGCATACGCGCGTGCCATCTGTTAGAGCATGAGGTCCATGCGTTGAAGGACTCCATGTAGCCAAAAAGCCTGAAGGCGTTTAGCTTTGTAATGGCTACATCCCTAGCGCTTGTCGGCAATACTGCGCGCGTGTAGCCTCTACATACCCCCCCCCCCCCCCCCCCCCCCCCCCCCCCCCCCCCCCCCCCCCCCCCCCCCCCCCCCCCCCCCCCCCCCCCCCCCCCCCCCCCCCCCCCCCCCCCCCCCCCCCCCCCCCCCCCCCCCCCCCCCCCCCCCCCCCCCCCCCCCCCCCCCCCCCCCCCCCCCCCCCCCCCCCCCCCCCCCCCCCCCCCCCCCCCCCCCCCCCCCCCCCCCCCCCCCCCCCCCCCCCCCCCCCCCCCCCTCTGACAGTTTCGAGAACGGTGGAACCTTCTACGCCGCGAGGGCGTCCCAGACGAGGTTTGTCTTCGAAGATCGTCTCTCCTT